GCGCCGGGCTTCTACGGCGACCGCTGCAACCAGACCTGCCAATGCCGGAACGACGCCGTTTGTGACCCTGTTTCGGGGGCCTGCAGCTGCGAACCCGGCTGGACTGGACCCCTGTGAGTACTACTGTACACTGATGATGAATTTGAAGTCTGTTACAAAGAATCTCGTTATAAGGCATTTTTTATTATATGACAAATTTTTTTAATTGGTCCCGGTGGTTTCCCATAGGCGTAATGTTACAAGAAAATATAATTGCAACAAACTAATTTTAGGCTGTAATCTCACTATAACAAATTTTTGTTGTGTAAAGACAATAGGGTTTGTTTGATATGTATGACTGGAAACCAAAAAAAAAAATAGTACTTGCAGCATTCCAACTTAGTCAAAAATAAAAAATAAATTCTGATCAAATGCAGCTGCAAACCTGGCTGGACTGGACCCCTGTGAGTACTACTGTACACTGATGATAAATTGGAATTCTGTTACAAAGAATCTCGTTATAAGGCATTTTTTATTATATGACAAATTTTTTTAATTGGTCCCGGTGGTTTCCCATAGGCGTAATGTTACAAAAAACAATATCATTGCAACAAACTAATTTTAGGCTGTAATCTCATTATAACAAATTTTTGTCGTGTAAAGACAATAGGGTTTGTTTGATATGTATGACTGGAAACCAAAAAATAATAATACGTGCAGCATTCCTTCATCAATAACAAAAAAATTCTGCCATGAAGTCCTCCTGATAAAATGCAGCTGCAAACCAGGCTGTACTGGACCCCTGTGAGTACAGTACTTGTATCCTGATAATGGTACCCGGAAAACCAGCCAAGCAGGAAACCAACCAAGAGCCCTAAAGACGGCTTAAGACGTCTGGGAATGTCCAACACCCCATCTTTTGAACAATCGGGGTCCGCTACCCCCCAGAGTTACCAAACTTCCCCTCACCATTCCCTTTTCTTACCTATTCAATCCCTCACCGATTTTTACTGAAGTACTTGTTGGTAAGCCTGGGTCTTGCCAAAACTGTGGAACGGCGTTGGAGAGGATTGAAAAGGCTTAAGCCCTTCTTGGCTGGTTTTCCTCTTGGTTGATCTTCCATAAGCTACTGAGGTAATATTCCCATTGATTTTAGTACAGTGCAGTACCGCCGCAGATTCAGTATACCCGCTGTGATATGCTTCAGTATAGGCGACGTCTGTATAATTCTTCCGCGAAATACTTCTTTATTTCGTATTGAAACAATTAATTAGTTCCTGAGTATATAGGAAAAGTGGTGTAAATGAGAAAATTACCTAAAAGGTATACATTTTCTAAAAATAATTTGACATTTAAAGCCTGATTTGCTTGCTTTTGATGCTGTGTTCCTTTTAGAATTGAGTGTTAGATGCATGGAAATAGATTAAAATTTTGAAGAAAATCCGATTCTGTGATGGATACAGTCAAACCTCCTAAAGTCAAATGCCTCCCTAACTCAAAATTTTGTCAAGTCCTTGTCTGGATTCCCTTAGAAAAAAAAATGCATCAAGAACCTCCCTAACTCAAAATCTTTTTCTCTGAAACCTCTGTAAGTTGAATTTTCTGAGGCCTTTTGGTTATTATTTCCTTGAAATATGGAAGAGAAAATCAATAGAACGAATGATTACAGTATATGCATCTTGAAATGAAGTGAAAGACTAATTCAACAAATGAACCCCTGCCTCTAAGTTCAGCAAGCTGTAAACTCATTAAGAAGCAAGTCTAGGCCCAGAATATCCTCATTTACAATATCCCACATTTTTTGTTATTTTCCTTGCAGCAAAAATGATTATTTCCTTTACTCAAACCCTGTTTTTTCCTGGTCCCTAGAAATTCAAACGCGTTTATTATGAATTCAAATGTATTCCGATTGTCATCAGATTTTTCAAAACTCAGGTGACATCTGTGTTTTTTCCGCGAAACACTTTCCATCCGTGTCCAAATAAGCGATGATGTTCCTGGAAATATGAAAGAAAAATTATGAGCGAAAATTTTATGAAATATATTCGAAGATGAAACATAATTTTTCCTTTTGATGGTTTTTTTTTTGCAATGATTATTGGCAATGAAAGCTTTTTATTTCTTGTGATCAGATTAAAACCTTGTGTGAATTATGAGTCAGTGGAATTCCACGGAAGCTGAAAGGGAAATGAAATTTTCAAGAATGAGCAATAAATATTAAACTGTCGTTCATGCATTTGATAAAAAAATATATTCGTAGTTCTTAATCTTCCTCAAATATGTCATTATGTTTTTTTCACGTTGTAAAATGTAAAAAAAAAAATCATTTCAGTCCTTGTGAAAATATTTGCAATAAAGGGAATTCCGACCGTCGGGATATTTCCTGAAATTTTATCAAATTGCTCAATCCTTGAAATTCGACATCTACAAGAAAAACTGCATGACGCGAAGAACTCCGGTTATTTTTTTTTCATTTCCTGAAACATTGTAGGTCATTGTAACTTTCGATAATCGTTTGGAATTTAGATCAAAGTTGAAGAAGTTTTTCTTTTTTCTTACGGCTCTTCATCGTGTTCTCAACGAGTGGGTGATAATGACTGTAAATATCTGGACTTTGGCCCTCTAAAAAGACCTCGTCCCAGTAATTAATAAACCCCAAGCATCTAAGCAATACTAGACTATGGACTAACTGAATTTTTTTTTGACCGCATTGTGATTTGTTCATCAGTCGTTTTGATCAATTTGCCGAAAAAGAGCGTTTCCAATAATTTCCCTCTGCGAGTTCGACCATAATTGAAGCATTTTAATTACGGTTTACTCATTGTTATGGAATTTTAGAAAAATTCCGATGATCAGTTTATTTATTTTTTTTTTGAAGTCTTGTTGGATGCATGGAAATAAATTACGTTTTTAAAGAAAAATGCAATTCTGTGATAGATATGAGGAAATGAGGTATATTTGCCAAATAATATTTGTTATATATTTAAATGTATTCCGAATGTGATCAAATTTTTCAAAATAATTTGAAAAAAAGTCTTCTTGGTGACCATGCTTGAAATCTGGAAATAATTTTTGGATCATTCAAATAAATGGATTTTATGTAATGTGACGGTTGTCTTTGATAAGGTAACTTAGTTCGCAAAAATTACTGTAATTACATTTAGAAATTCAATATTTTTTTTCTTTAGGACATAAAGAGAGGTTTGTTTGATTTTTTTCAATTGACCCCGAAGTAGTTCAGATGATTCTGACTCAGAAATTCGAATGCCTGGAGATTTATATACAGTATTACAGGATACTTGAAAAGAAAACTTTCGTAGTTTCCCTCGTGAATGATCTAAATTTTTGTATCCATGATCATTTTTATTCTGTGGTAATTTTCGGGGTTTCGAATCGCGGCGTCTTTGCCCCAAAAATTGTCTTCTATATTAGAAAATTAAAAAAGATGTCGATGGTGAGGAATTTTGGAAACTATTCCTTGCTTGACTCTGTGGAATTTATTTATTTGTTTTTATCGTTTTGTATCGAGCATTCGTTAAAATGTTCGAGGATTTTTTTTTTAAGCCGGATGTGACATCCTTTTGCTCTTTTTCCTTCTCGTTCTCAGTTGTGACGCACAATGTCCGGAAGGAAGACACGGAGAGCATTGCAAAAACGTTTGCAAATGCCAAAACGGAGGGAAATGCGACCCAGTCACTGGAGGCTGTGAATGTCAGCCAGGATGGACCGTGAGTTTTATTTTCAAATTTTCATCGAGTCAACTTTGTATCCTGGAACGTTCGACGTTATCTAAATTTTTCATTTCTGGGTCGTTTAATTTATTATGGTGAAATCTGGAGTTGCAAAAATTATTTATTTGGGGAAAAAATAATTACTGTATTTTCTTAAATTAATACTAAATTATTTTAAAATATTAGGCTATTAAAATTATTCATTTGGGAGAATAACTAATATTTTAAAATATTCTATTAATTACATAATAACGAACAACATAAATTTAAATATTAATGTTACAATTAAAAATTGTAGTAATGGTGAAGTTTTTCGTGATTTTTAATTTGGAATTTGACGTTAATCATTAAAATTGAAATTGAACAAACTTTCATTTGGTTTTTTTTTTCATTACCGCAGCTCAATTTACTATTGAGCTATTACAAGTAAAAAATCGGTTCACTTTTTTTTGGCCCAACCTGTATATATTCAGAATCTGAAGTGTAAAATGCTGTGTTCTGATTTTGCGATTATTCCTCTCTTTTTTATGAAAAGGGGGAAGTTTGTGCGTTAGGCACAGGCCTACCCTTTACCCCTGGTAGAACAGTCTTCTTTACGCTCACGGTTTTAAAACCCGAGACGTTAGGCTAACTACCTTGAACGTTTACGTCTGGGCCTAAGTCCCCACTGGTCCAATGTTGAATCATTTTCTTGTTTTTTTTTCCTTTTCTTCTCTTTTTTTTTTCTCCTAGAAATAAATTATTGACGGAGATTTTCGTGAAGATGCCGCTTTTTTTGTGTGTGGGGTCAAATGAATGTTGGGACAGCGGATCAGGAAAAATGTTGGGAGCTTATAGAGTGAAATGATACAAATATTGAAGAACTGCTTCTTTTTCTGTATAAAGGCACGTTATTTTAGGAAAAATATGTTTTCTGCACAAGTACACAATTTCATTGCAATAAATAAACGGTCTGAGACATTTATTGCTTTGTATTTTTCAATCTCTTAACTGCATGGAGTTTTTATTTTATTTTTACTGTATTTGTTTAAATTGTTTTTGTTTTGTGTCCGCAATTACATTTCCAAGGTTAACCTTGAGCTTTATTACAAGAAGCGATTTGCGGGGCTTCTTTTATCCTATTGTCTCTGACCGGTTTTCTGATTTTTTTTGTAATCCCAAGTGTTCAAACGAAACGTTTCCAAGTCACACTTTCAAAATTAAAAAAGAAACAATTTGCACTAAAAAACAAAATAAGTGAAGTCAAACTGACTAAATAATTAACTTCGAGCAATGTGAAAGTGAGCCACAACTAACGTCATAAAAATCGAATGATCAACTGAAAAAAGCGGGGCTAATGAAGGAAAATGAATTCAAAGATTGCGATAATCCGCAAATATAGTTTGTCGTGCAAAAAAAAAATCTGCTTTAGCGCATGAAAAACCTACTTCGAAATAGTTTCCCCACCGATTTTGCGCAGTATTTTCGTGCTCTCAACAATTTGTATCGCGACAAAATCTTCCTAATGTTTTTTTTTTTAATAAATTTGCTAAATCACAATAGCAGGCATTAAAATTCAATAAACGTAGTATAGAGGTGTTAGTTGATCTCATTTATAAATTATTTTTGGTTTGAAAGACAATTTGTTTGGTTGTAAGCTTTTCTTGTGCAGTTTATATTTCTTCCCCCATTTTTTTAATGTGCGATTTTACGGGTTTTGAAACTTTGAAACATTTTAAAAGCTTGTTCCAGCTTCTTAGGGAATTAATTTTCTATGTTACGCTCATGTATTTTTGAAAATAAAACGGTGAATAAGTAAAATGATCAGTAATGCTTATGTGTGAAATTCGTAATTTTTTTCTTGTTCCGTTTTTGCTGAATCGCCGGAGAATATAAAATATCGTCGGATTTTTTTGTATTAATTTCCGATAATTGTTTTTTTTTGTATGCTAATTATACTCAAGTGAGTACTGAACAATTAATAAGGTACAAGCTTACTTGAGGTTCCATAGCACGTAAAGACACAACGGGTAAGGTGACTAAAATGAGACGAGTGCGCAGCTACTCTTTCTTACTCCTTCAGGACCGTACTCATGACTGTCGCCAGTACGTATTACTGTACTTCGCAGAAAGTGTGAGCGAGGTACTCATTCTACTCAAGTCCCTTTTTTCCCCTTTCATATTTCCCTGCTCCTTTCACCATGGAAGAAAAAAAGGGGTATACTTTAAATTCAAAGCAAATGACTTCGCTAATGCAATGCAAAATTTTCCATATTTTATTGTTGGATTTACAAATCTGACAAATTCAGAGACATTTTTTCAGAAATTCTCAAACTTACAAATTAGAAGATTTCACAAACTTTCAAATTAGAAGATTTCACAAACTTACAAATTAGAAGATTTCACAAACTTACAAATTAGAAGATTTCACAAACTTACAAATTAGAAGATTTCACAAACTTACAAATTAGAAGATTTCACAAACTTACAAATATGAAGATTTCACAAACTTACAAATATGAAGATTCCACAAACTTACAAATTAGAAGATTTCACAAACTTACAAATAAACATGATTTCCTGGATTGCTTCTCTTTTTTGAAGACGTTGGCTGATTTATTGTCAATTCTCGGGGTTCGAAATGAAAAGAAGAGCTTCCCAGAGAAATATTTGTCCAAACTTTGGGAAGTACCCTTTCTGCTTGAAAATGGCTTATTCGCGTATCTCAATTTTTTTTAACGGCCCCATTTGCGACTGGAGGGAAATCTAAACCAAATGACTTCATTAAAACAGTAAAACTAAATTAAATTTTAATGCTTGGGTTTTCCCATTGGAGCCTGAGAAAATGTTCTGGATTTCCCCGTGGAAGTATTCATTTTAAAAATCAGGTGCCATTTATAAACTTTCTCAAGCTTATAAAATATATGTATTCCTTATCCTACACAAATAAACATGTTTTCTCAATTGCCATCTTTTTGAAGATGTCGGCAGCTTTTTGTCATTTCTCAGGGTTCAAAATAAAAAAAGAGCTTCCCGGAGAAATATTTGTCCAGACTTTCGAAATTACTCTTTCTGCTTGGAAATGGCTTTTTGAGTATCTTATGTTTTTTTAAATAGAAGTTGTTGGGATTTTTCTTGAATAATTTTTAACGTCCCATTTTCGACTGTAGGGAAATATAAAAGCAATTGACTTCGACAATACAGTGCAATAAATATTAAATTTTTATGAGCGGATTTTCAAATTGAAGCCTGAAATAAATTGATTGATTTCCCGGACGTAGTTTTCAATATTAAAATTCAGATGCCATTTTCATATGTTTTCAAACTTCTAGAATATAGAAGACCTCAGAAATTTTTATCCGAGACAAATAAACATTTTTTGGTGCAAATTCTTCTCTTTTTTGGGGACGTCAACTGATTTATTGTCAATTCTCAGGATTCAAAATAAAATAAAATAGCGTCCCGGAGAAATATTTGTCCAGACTTTCGAAATGACCCTTTCTGCATGGAAATGATTTTTCGCGTATTCTAATTAAAAAAAAAAAGAGAAGTCGTTGGATTTTCTTGAATGCTTCCTTTTTTTAACGTCCCATTTTGCGACTGGAGGGAAAGTGAAGCTGCTTTTATCTGCGGCACAGGACGGAAGGGTGAGGATTTATGCAAATATTCGCCTCGGGATTTCCCTCAGCTTTGATCGATGTTTTTTTTCTTCATTGTCTTTATTTTTAGTTTTCTTTACAATTTCAGAAAAACAAGTTTCATAGATAGCGTCTCGGTTATTTTTTTCATCAATGGATTTTTTGTTTGGATGAAATGTCGATGTCTGTGTGTGTCCTGTCAGATGGATTTTTGAGGAATTGTTTTTAATTTTCTATTTGTCTGTATTTTTAGGTATACAATATAGAATATGCGAAAAAGAAGGATATGGATGATATTGACTTTGCAGTTGATCATGTTTTTGTTCTTGACCAAGTTTTGAATTTTAAACAGGTCTTTTTTTCAGTGATGTGAAATTTTTTAAATAGAAGTCAATATTTTGATGTACAATCTCTTTCATGAAATTATATCAAAAGACTCTTTCCAAAATCATAGAGGACCAAGATAAACCATTAACTACTATATATACAATTTCTCATCAAAGAGTTTCTCAGTTTCATCAACAAAAATGTATGTGGGAGCAGGCTGTAAACCTTGTGCTTAAATTTGGGTTCAGTAATTGTATTGTGGTACAATTTTTATCAATGATATTTTCTTTTTTTTATTATTGGGGAGGGGAAGAAAGTGTATGCATTTACATCAGTTGTGCAATTCTACATTTTGGAGTGTACGGTGAGACCCCTACATGTGGACACCTTGACATGCAGACAATTTGACCTATGGACACTTATTTTTCTATAAAAATCCATAAAAAAAGGACTGATATGCAGACACTGACTCAAGATGCAGACATTGTGGGCTAAACTAGAAAATTAAGTTTCAGGCCAAATTATAAAAAGCGAGTATTTCCAATCCCAAGATTTATGTAGGAAAAGTTATTTGGCAATTCTGTAATCATTTTACCATCTATTTAGCTAATTTTGAAAAATTGCCTCCAGCATAGAGGGATTTCCTTCTCTATTTTGACAAGTTTTGTTTCTATAGAGAATGCCAAAATTTCAATGCGCTGTACAGCGGTAAGCTAATAAATGATCCAAGTGCCCTTATTGAGTTGAAAGATATTGATTGGATCAGTTGCAATTGGCATACAATTTTTATATATTTTATGGAATTCTGATCAATATTTCTTCCATAAAATACCAATTACAAATTATATAATGTAAGTCTAAGGGAAAACAAGACTTGACTTGACAGCATTTCAACTTTGGGACAATGTTCAAGCACCAATTATGTCTGCATCTCAGGATCTTGCTTTTGTTTCTTTCCTTTTAATGACAATTTACAGCTTATTTCTTTATTTTCCATTCCAATGTGATGGAATGTGTTTGGATGAATGTGGGTGGGCAGGGAAGGGGTTTTGCATTTGGGAACATCACTTGAACCTAGTGAATGCTGAGAAGCAGGAAATAAAGCTTGCTGATCCATCAATCTTTTGCCAGATTATCTTCAATTTTTGAAGATGTTTATCCTTCTTGCTGGAATTGCATGATTTTGGGTAGGAAAGTTCTTGAAACTCTTTCAAGCTGCATAACTCCTGTTGCCTAGATTTTTGTGCAGAATCCCTGTTGGAATTCCCTTGAGAATTCAAACTCAATGTCTTATCCCTGAATCACTTGGACTGCAATTTTTTCTATGCCTTTTGGGCCTAGAAAACTTGGGTATTTTTCTGGGAACCCAAGAAAGAGAAGAGCAATTAACTTGATGCATTTTAAAGGGAAGAGAGTGACTAATAAGGCAAATGTGCCTTTATTTACAAGTTCAGCATATTTTCAACTAATTTACCCAGCAGCAGAGATCAAAATATTCATGGGTCACTCTATGTTCTTCTTAAAGATTATAACTGTAATCAGATTTTTTGAAGTGTGATTATGTGTCCTTGGATTTTTCTCTGGAAATTTTAAAAAAATGTCGTTAAAATAAATTTTTCAACAGAATATTAAATAGTGTTCCAACAGTTTGTAGCATGGAGTTGGGTTGACCACAAGCTGAATCAAAATTCTAGCAATTGGTCTCTCACTAGTCTCAACATCATAATTTTTATTATATTATAATCTTGTTACAACGAATCTCATTCATTGATTCCAACAAGGTATTTTTCAGGTCTCTATCCAATAGCAATATTACAGTAATTTTTTCAAATTGCTCAACAACTAATTTCTCGTTATGTACTGGATAACAAAGCTGTCTTCCCGGTCCCAACAGTTTCGTTGTAGCAAGACTTCACTGTACAGTAATTTCATATTGAATTCCTTTTGCAGTGCAAGGACCTGTGTCCTCTGGGCAATTGGGGTGTGAACTGCACGGGTTCGTGTCATTGCGTAAACGACGCCATTTGTGACCCGGTGGATGGCAAATGTCATTGCAAGGAAGGCTGGGCTGGTACTTTTTGCGACCGCAGGGCTTGCAAACCGAACATGTATGGTCCGGGCTGCAGTCAAATTTGCGCCTGTGAAGAACCCAACACTGAAACGTGAGATGCCACTTTTATTTTATTTTCATCTTACTTTTTACTCCTTGGTCAATGTGAAATTTAGTATTTATTAAATTTAGTATATCAAGTGTTTTGTGTTCATCATTCATAAGGCAGTAGAACCTCTTTAAGTTGAATTTCAAGAGATCATTAAAAAATAAGCAAAAAATTAATTAATGTATAATTTATAAACTGTATTAATAATTATTTTTTAAATAATTTCAATATTAATAAAATAATATTTAAATATAATCATATTATCATTATATTATAATAACTGTATTATAATTATATGATATTCAAGAGCTTACAAATATTTGAATTGACGAAACAAGCATTTTTGTTGTGGTATTGGGGACAGATGTTGCCTCAATATAAGTTGATGTTTGAGTTAGAATGAAACACAATCAGCCCAGGACAAGGCCAGAAATTCCTTGTAGGAAATCCTACTTAACAGACTAAAGATATATTTCACAAGATAATGGTTTTACTGTATCAACAACTCAGCAAACTCTTCTCACACAACAATTGGACTGGACTAAGAACTGATGATGATGATTTACATTGGCTGCATATATATATTAAGAGACTTTACCCTTTATTGGTTTTTACTGCATAATTAAATGAATACCTGTGATAGGTCAAGAAACAAGAATCACAGATGTTGCAGTGCCAAGAAGTGCCTGGCAATGCAATTTGGAGGATGGGAATTAGCTTCCCACAATTTCCAGGAATTTATTAATTATTTAATTTAATTTCCATTGGAATAAGTGAGGTGCAGTGGGCTTGCCCAACATGTGGGAAAGATAGAAAAAAATCGCAGGAAAATTGTAAATGGTGATATTTTGGGGCCTTTAATAGCTTCTTGACAGATGCTGAACTTATTGTTCATTTGCCCAATCAGTTTTTCATTTTCTTTCAAAACACATCAAGATCCTTTTTATTGATTTTCTCTTTCCTGTGTCAAGAAAATAATAGCCAAAAGATTTCGAAAAATTTGAGTTTTGGAGGTTTGAGAGTTGGTGAAGTCTTTAATGTATTTGTTTCTGAGGGAAGTCAGACTGGATTCTTTTAAATCTTATTTTGTAATTTTTTTTTGAACATTCAGGTGTCATCCTGGAACTGGGGATTGCAATTGTAAAGCTGGTTGGGACGGAGACACGTGCTCCAGACCTTGTCCCACTTACTGGTATGGCGAAAAGTGCAAAAACTTGTGCAAGTGCAAAAATGACGCCTACTGCAATCCCGTGAATGGAACGTGCATCTGTCTTCCGGGTATGATTTTTTTTCTGTCTTATTTGCAATTCATCTAACACGAAATTTTTGGATGAAATTTTTAAAATGAAGGTACTGTATTTTTCTGATCTGAAGAAGTGAAGTTTAAAAATAAAATCGAGTACCGTTTGGTTTGACCTTTGTTGAAATTAGGTATAGTATTACAGTATATTTACCTTAATCACTATGTATAGTGTCGTATTTTTGCCTCTGGATGTTTGCAACAGTATAAAAAAAATGTGCGCACTGTGTGCAAATAAACACGCGGTATTCGTCTTATTTTTCTTATTCGAATTCGGTGGAACAAACCCGAGGATAATCCGCTGATTTACTGTATTTTCTCAAGTAGTCTGAACTTGTAGGGCTTCTGATCTTCTGTACATTTCGTGGGGCCATGCGAAAGTTTGAGGAGCACTTGAAAAAAATAATGTGGATCACTTCTGAAACCAATGCAATTGTTTCCAACTGACCAATTTATTTTTACTTACTTCGAATGTTATAAAATGTGGCTGAACGAGGACAAACTACAGTATATCTGTGATCATTGGAAAAGCTCTGGAAATATTTTTTGCGAGGAGGGGCTCCGCCACAGAATTCGAGTTGTATTAATAATGGGCTCCGCGAGTCAAAATGGCAGAGGATCACAAATATGGACGGACATTTTTTTAAGCGCGTCTATGTATGGAAATTAAAGTGGTTTCTGTTCCACCTCGACTTCTTTTTTAGTGTTTTAATTTTCCTGGACTCCTAAATTATTAAGAAGATTTAATTAAACATACCCATAACGAATAGAAAGAAATGAAACGGGGTTTTTTACTTGAATTACAAGAATATATATTTAGGAATCAGGCAAAATGAATGCCTGTGTTCCTGTGTTTATTTATGTTATGAGATGGTTGTTTGATAATTGACTCAGGTGAAATTTGTACATGAAATTATTTTAATTTTGAAACTACAGTATTTTCAAAACTTTTCCGAATTATCTCCTAACTTTTTTTTTTATGTGCGCTTCGCCTCTGATTAATTCAGCTGATTCTGATTCAACTTTTTTTCATCAACTATGTCTTCGACTTCTTTTTTTTTAAGCAATTTTTTTCTGATTTTCCAAGTGATGAAGAAATAATAATAAAAAAGTGCGAAAAAAAGAATGAGGAGACGTTTTTTTGTCTTTTTAATATTCAATTCTGAAGATCGCTGTCTTGAATGTCGAGGAGATGTCTCCTGGCTGAAATAATGGATGACAGGGGCTATAAACTTATGCATAAACCACGTACAATTCAGGTACTATGCAGTACTTTATTTTTAGAAATGTTACATGCGGAAGCCAAGACTGAAAAAGCAGAACTTCTTTCATTGTTGACTAGCTCTTTTCCGTTTGTTTTACCGTCTTATTCTACACAATGTGTAATAATGAACAGTATTCAGTATTTAAATGTCGCCCACGGTCTGCCAATTTTTTTTTAATTTTTTAAGATTTTTCCATTTAACCGAACTGAGAAAATCTAAATCCGGTGAGGATAGGCTTGATTTTTTTTCGGGTGTATATATATATTTTTTAAATTTTGTACGGGAACTGCTGGAACCCAGTTTACATCAATTTACTGTATGCGCAATAAAATTGACATTTCGATTTTATTATGGGTTATTTTTGCAGGTTACAAGGGCGCGCTTTGCGAAGAGCGTTGCCAGCCCGGCAGGTACGGACAGGATTGCACTGCGATTTGCGCTTGCCGTAACGGAGCGGAATGCGAACCCAGTTCTGGCGAATGTCGGTGCACTGCGGGTTGGAATGGGTTGACCTGCGAAACCCCGTGTCCAGGTGGTACCTATGGCGAAAAGTGTTCCGAGGTTTGCAGGTGCTACAACGGAGGCAGCTGTCATGCTGTCACTGGGGCGTGTACTTGCAGTGCTGGCTGGAAGGTGTGTTATGATGACTATTGTACCTGTGGTATACTCGATTGAGAATGTGCAGTACCTTAATCATTTACGCAGTGTATTTAATAAAGCTTGAATGAAATAGTGTTGAGGAATATATCTTCTATATAGGTTTTTCATTTGTTCACGTTGTACTGTCTAATCGGCTAGATATGCTTAGATTTTTAAATCTTGCCTGAAAAGGGCACTGTGGTGATGAACTTCCGGTACGGTAGGGTCGGTTGTCTGTATAGTTGTCGGTACGCGAAAACTAAAGACGGGACTCTGGACGACCCGCGCATTTTATTTTCCGCGGTTTTGCAGTTTTCTAAAAAATCGTTTCACCTCTGATATTAAGAGTCGCCCTGTAAAATTTTAGTGTCAGCTCCGGAAATGAATAACATGAGCTTGTACTTATATACGAGCCCCTGTTGTATTGTTTGTTTAGGGACCGACGTGTGAAGAAAGCTGTGAACCCAACTTCTTCGGGTACAATTGCACGGACCAGTGTGACTGCGTTTCTGCGAACGCGAAAGGGTGTGATCCCATTACCGGAAACTGTTACTGCAAGCCTGGTTTCAGTGGTGAGAAATTTTTTCTCTCGTGATTAAAATATGTTTCTTCGCAATTTTGTCCTGCGAATGATGTTTGTGAGTTCAATTGATGAAGTCTTGGGGCGATCACTGTAATTCGCCTAAAGATGAAGATGGCGCCACGTTAATTTTTTACCAGTCAAAGAAAAATTAATGCCTTCGTGAAGTCACTCCTGTTTTGACATTGATTCAAGTACAGTACGTTACTGTGGTTGAATTTGTTTTCAATACATTTATGAATACGTATGAGTCTTGTTTTGTTGAGGACTTGCATCAATTCAACGTATTTTTGTTCTGTAGGTGTTCGTTGTGGTTCGGAATGCGAGAGAGGATATTTCGGCCCTAAATGTGAGCAGAAGTGTGATTGTGCCGAAGCGAGCAGCTGTGATCCGGTGAGCGGGAAATGCGTTTGTGACCGAGGTTGGACCGGGAATCGTTGCGATCAGCCATGTCCTGATGGGTTCTATGGGCATCAGTGCTCACAGCGTTGTCCTTCTTGTGCGCATGGTAAGTGAATTTGAGCGTTTGATTTAGCATTGCTCGATCTTTACGATACATTTTTTTATAATTTTATGCTAGAATATGGACCCGCATTTTCTTCTTGCTTCGAGCCATTTCTTTCAAACCTTTTCCCCGTAAATTTGCGTCTACACCCGTTTAACGCCTGAGACGCTTCAGAGAACTGAAAGTGTATCATGTTATTTGTTTTCGTTCCTTCCGCGCTGGGTTCATAGGTATTTCGTCGCTTTTATGCTAATCTTTTACACTTCTCTGGTGAAATTTTCTTTATCGCCTGATTTTTACTTTTAGGTCTTGACAAGTGCGACCATGTCACGGGAGTTTGCGCCTGCGCCGCGGGTTACACTGGCGTCAAGTGCGAAGAGCCATGCCCGAAGAACAAATACGGACTCAATTGCACCGGGGTTTGTTCGTGCGACAACAAGGGCGAGTGCAATCACATCACCGGTATGTTTGCTTTTCAAACTCTTGAGAGGGTAGAGTTTGAATTACTGTGCGATAATTTCCATCAGTGAAAACTCGACGAGCAAAGGATTTTTTTCTTCAAATTTTCGTTGATTGCAGTTTTTTGTTGTTGTTGTGCCGAATGATTTTTCGATCGCTTATTCTTAGTTTGAGCTTTTTGGCGGTCGAGGACATTTTTCCGTAGTTTCCGTAGGAATCCCTTATCCAGATCTTATCAGAGTATTTTAGAAATTGTGGAACATTAATTACGGAAAAAGAAAATTGCTGGAGACTCAAGGGGTACTGAAAAAATTTGGTGTATATTTTTCAGACGAACGTCGGATGTTGCTCGTAAATTTATGAGTACCGAAAAATTTTGCGCAACGGAGCTTATGCATTTTTATGATTTTTTTTTCATTTTTTTTTTTTTTTTTCATTTTAGGGGAATGCATGTGTCCGCCGGGTTGGGTGGGTGCCGATTGTTCCGTGCCCTGTGAGGCTGGCTTCTTCGGACGGAATTGTGCTCACAGGTGCGCGTGTTTGTTTGGAGGACAGTGCAGACCCAATGATGGGGTTTGCAAGTGCACCAAGGGTCGCATGGGTCCACGTTGCGAAGAAGGTGAAAAACATTCGTCATTCAAAAAAATGATTTCTAAATTTCAACAGGGATTAGCCCGGAAAATGAAAATAACCATAAAAGACCGAGGACGAAAACTCAACCTGGAAAATGTTACTCGTAATACAGAAGAGCTTATTTTTGAAAGTCGCGTGAATATGTTTTGTGAATTGGATTGCTATATTTTCTGTCGAAATACTTTCTTTTAAATTTCTGATGCGGGGAAATCTTTTTACGACGTACATTGTATTGATGAATCATTTTTTTAAATAATGTATTTCTCAGGTCCCTCCGATAGAGCCACAAAGTTGTTTGATGCTCATTTTAACGGTTTTTTTTTAGCTTTCAGGGATTTTGTTGTTTCTAATGAGATTTTACTGTATGCTGTCTTTCCCACAGTCTGTCCCGAAGGATTGTATGGAGATCACTGCATGGAAACCTGCAACTGTAGCGGACCGAATTTCCTGTGTCATCCGATCGAGGGATGCACTTGTAAAATTGGTTTCACAGGTGGGTTATTTCAATGGCTTGTGTCATCCGAAATTTAGTGAACGAATAAACTCGTGATATTCTTGGGTGAAAGGAAACGCTATTGAATGGGTATTACCGTATTAAACGCGCGTCTTTTTTCAATTAACCGGGGCAAAAATGAGGTTCGCGTCGAATCATAGTTTCTACAACATTTCAAGTGACTTTTTTGTTTTAATTCGAAACATTTTCTATTTTAGTTATACTACTACAGTATATACAGTAGTATGTATGAACAAAAAAAATCGCCATCAAATTCGAATTTTGATTCGTCTTCAATTATCATTTTACTCACCACAGTTTTTCAAATTGGAATTTTGAAGATTTTCGCTAAAAACTTTGCTGAAAAATCTATCGCAATTTATCGAATAGGAATTTTGAAGATGTTCGCTAAAAAATCTAACGTGCGCGTCGTACCTAACCAACTCGTGTTTTACTGGAGTAAATACGGTAAATTGATCGAAGTCTAGTTTGTCTGATTACCTGAACGCATGAAATGTCGAGAAAAAAATCCCATTTTAGATCTCCAGCATTTGATGAGACGAATGAAACTCAATAAAGAATCACATTTTCCGTTTTAAAGAATCTCCTTTTTGAGTTGAATCCGATGCGACTACAATACTGTACTATCGTATATTTGTGAAGGTGCCAACTGCGATGTCCCGACTTTTGCTGAAAGCACAATGAAACGAGAAGAAGTCACGTCTACCAGCGTGCCTAGTGTGATCGTTGGGCTGTTGGTGGTGATTCTGGCTGCAGCTTTGGCAGCACTGTGCTACTATAAACGCAGGGTCATTCGACTCAAGGCCATGAATCACCCTGAACTTGCTGTGCGGTATCACATGGACTATGCGACCTGTAAGTGTCAGTTCTATTTTTTCGATTTTTTCTGTGATAGCAACTTTTTATTGTACATCTTTATAGCACTGTACGTGTAAATAGCTATTCCTGGAAAGAAATTTGTTCTATGCGTATGAAGTACGAAAAAATATAGTAAAACTTGAAATTTCGTGCTGTCAATTATATTTTATGAAATAGTTATAGTTCGACTCAAAATTGCTGCGTTATACAGAGAAGCCATAATGACAATACTGTATTGATTTCTTGAAGTAAGATTGAAAATCACGAATATTCTTTTTTTTTACGAAATGAAGAGAAAACATCGATTCATTGTTGCTCTTTGATTTTATTGCTTTCCTTCGTGCACTCATGGAAATTCCCGCCATTCAGGGAACTGCAGTGAGTACAGTGCTATATTTTTCTTTGATTGCATGTTTTGTTCGGGATTGTGATAATCTTGTCGACGATGAGCTTCCCTTTTTCGGGAAGATATAAATTTTTCGAAATGTGAATGCTGATCTGGATTTTCTGGATTTAAATTCTGATCTAAAATTTTCTAGATTGTCTGATGTAAATTTGTCAACATTTTTATTCTGATCCAAATTTGTATCGGGAAGATATAAATTTTTCGAAATGTGAATGCTGATCTGGATTTTCTGGATTTAAATTCTGATCTAAAATTTTCTAGATTGTCTGATGTAAATTTGTCAACATTTTTATTCTGATCCAAATTTGTCAGCATTTTTTTCTGATCCAAATTTGTTCACATATTTATTTCATCTAAGTCAGTCCTCATGAATATTGGTGAATGTATATTCCAATAAATTTTTCGAAATTAAATTCTAATCCGAATTATCCAGAATTAAATTATAATCCAAATTTTCCTGAATTAAATTCCAATGCAAGTTTTCCAAAATCTGACTTTTTTATCATTTCTTTTACAACAGCTGATGGGCGACTGTTCAATAACCCTGTGTACGGCAACGGCGTCGTCCGCGTTCGTCCCCCAGAGATTGTCAACTCCTTGAGCCTCGAACTGTGACGCCGGGCACGTCGCTTCGTTGAGCTTCGGCTTGTCGTTGTTGTTGGTGTGGTGGTTGTGGTGCAAGTCGTTTTGTTGAAGCTGCACAGGACCTGGTTCTAACCGCTTAGCAGAACGGATTTGGTGGATTCGGCGGCTGATGGCTGCGGCGAAGGCGGCGCTGCGGGATACGCTTGGCCGCCACCCGGTGGCGTGGACGGGTTCCTGACCTTGAGCAATGCGAAGTCTCGTGAGGCGGACGAGACGAATCCCAACCTCAACATTTACAATTCTTTGGAGGATCTCAATAAGGGCAAGGATCACCAGTATGAAGTTGTCAAGATACCGACGGATGATGCTGAGAGGGCGCTTGCGAAAAAATGTGAGACACTCGGGATTCGCTATTTAGAATTTATGCTTTCCAGTTTGAATTCGAATAAATCCTATTGAATGTTATTTTCAATTTATCCTCCTCATGAAGTAGTCTGAATATTGAATACTTTTTTCTTCCTTATTATGGAAGTATTAAACGATAGATGTGCTGCTGTATAGAGTTTAAAGGGGCTTCGTTCAATATTATAAATATTTTTTTCTACATCGACTTTCGATAATTCGAGAAAACTAATTTTTTTTACAGTATTTCAAAATTTCAGTCGTTGAGAAGCCGAGAAAAAGTAGGTAACCTGAAAATTTGAGTTCACCGAAATTTGTTGACAGCTTATTTGCGATTTTTGTTTTCTGATACTGTAAATCGTTTTTGCCGAAGCCGATTTGAGAATTCTTTGGGATTCAAGAGCAAAAGTTTAGGGAATCTTCTGATATTTTTAATGAAGTGTTCATGAAAATGCAGAAAACTTGGTAGGAATGAACCTTGTTTCGAAAATATATTTTCGTTTCATGAGATTGAAATACTGTATATATCGCTGCCCTGAAGTTTATGTTGTCAGAGTCGTTTTTCGAAGTGGAGAAAGATTTTGAGAAACATGTGGGAAGAAAAGCTTGTGCAAAGGATTATTCTTCAATTTTTACCGAGTTGCCAGTGGACGAGCATCTGGAACACGGGATTGATCGCCCACCTTCTGAGATTTCGGTTTTAAAATCAGAAGTAATGACTGATTCTAATCAGGAAATCTAAATAAATTTAGATCAGCGTTCAAGTCTTGACAATTGAGAAAATGGAGTTCTTATCTTTTTCCGCTTCGACATCGAAACTGGTTTTCTGAAATATAGGACGGTTGTCGCCTGAATTATAAATTTGAGGAAAGATTGACCTAATTAACCTACCTCACGGGCGATTTGAAGAGGCGACACCTGCGCACTCGCAAATAAAACCACAGAATTTTCTTCCTTGAATTCGATATTCGTTTTGATGAACTATCAAGACTGATTCATGTACTATGTGAGTGTGCTTTTTTTTTTAATCTGTGCAGTGAAATCCGTGTTGCCAGAGCCGTACGACCGTCTGTCACCTAAATTATAAATTAGAGGAAAGATTGGCCTAATTAACCTACCTCACGGGTGATTTGAAGAGGCGACACCTGCGCACTCGCAAAGATAACCACAGAATTTTCTTCCTTGAATTCGATATTCCTTTTGATGAACTATGAAGACTGATTTATGTGTGTTTTTTGTATCCGTGCAGTGAAATCCGTGTTGCCAGAGCCGTACGATCGTCTGGACCACATGCGACCCGTGCGCAGTTCCGGTCGGAGCCAGCAGAACATCCCGGCATCTCACACGTACCAACGCATGAGCAAGGAGTCCAACAACACCGACTCGCTCCGTTCCTCCTCGGCGTCCACTGCGCGACTCGTGGTGTCGCCGACAAGTGGCACCGATGACGACGACGACGCCGCCCGTCTCCGCCTCAGCACCGCCTCGGGTTCTTCGGAATCCTCCGTCGAGGCCAATAAGGAGTTCAACGACCCCATCTCGGATTCGGAGAACAACGTCGGTCACAGTTAGACTGGGGTTACCAACATTTTGTTGTTGTTCGCGTTTGGCCCTTTTTCTCGCTCTGAAAGGAAATTAAGATTAAATTAGAAAGGCTTATATATTTGTTGGGATTGGAAGAAACTGGTGTAAACGTCCCCAAGGTTTTTTCCGCGAGCTTTCTCAACGATGGCAAAACTTTACAATTTTCCAGTGAGCTTAGGTTGGAGATGACTTGAGGTGTGAATTAAAAAGAGAGAATTGAGCTCAAATGGTTGCCCTGGTTTTTGAGTGGGCAAATTTTTCGCGATACACGAATCTCCTGTTTCCCTTTTTAAATGTTATGAAATTATACCGGTATTTTATTACGTATTTTGCAAATCTTGTTCCCTGCAAGAACAGATTTCAAGTTCTACCGAACACGGCGTACAGTATTTAAATTAAAATGTGAATTGAATTATTGAAAAAATTACCTGTTGGTATTATTAGTCTTCCAAAAAAGTTAAAAATAAAATGTTTTCTAATCCTTATTTTTTATTTTACAATATTTTTAGCTTTTTCCGAGGTCAGTTTTTTTCTAATGTTCGTCTTCTTTTTGGGTGGGAAACGAAATTTTGGGGTGTTGAACCGGTTCTCTATGGTGATCCCTTCCGTTGTAAGCCATTGATTTCTATACGTTATTTTGGCCATGAATAGATGTACATATTAGCAATTTGTTTTTTCCTGAATATCACATTTTGTGACAGCGATAAAAAATCTGACACAATTTTTTTTTATTGAAAGTTGTGGACGTATCACATTTTTGGCCGACTTCCACTCGCTGGATGGTTTTTTGAGGTTGAAAAAAAAATAATTTGAGAAGACGGAGTCATCGAAAACGTTTTCTTTAATATTTATGTGTACGTGAGAAATAGCTTTCGTTTTCGATTGCATGTGTTCTTAGCTTATTTCATTGCGTAAGTTAGAATAGACCTGATTGAAGGTCGTAGCTTTTTCTTTCTTTATCCTGATCTGTCGAAAAAGTCTTCGTTTTGTGAATTTTTGATTTGTTGGTTTCTTTTTTTTGAAAGAAAAAAAGAATGTGTAATATTGCGTTGTTTATTTTGCAAAGAAAACTTTTTTTCTTGCGCTCATACCGTCAGTTGAATTCCGGTGGCTGCGCCTTCAAATTAGTGATGGGTATTCAAAAAAAATACTTTCTCAATTTTTGAATTCGAATAATGAATGAATGGAAAAAAATGTGTGGCTTGGCTGCACTTCAGAAGAGCAAGTTGCAAAAGAGCCGGTGCACATGTAAGAGCGAGTATTATTAAATTAATGTATCACTATAAACTCGGATAAAGTAATATTTTGCGAATTGATTTATGTTTTTTTTTAGGCTTGCTCTTTTGGTATACTTGCTCTTTTTTTGTGGAATAACTACTGGCCTTCGCGTGATTGTGTTTACGGTATATGGACATTGCTTTCTATTTTGAAATGAGAAAGGGCGCCGCTCTCTTTTTAATTTTGTGTTTTGTTGCGAAACTTACGCACTTTTTTATGACCTCTAGTCAAAGTATTTTTTAATCATGATTCCGCGGAGAGATTTGGCGAAAAGGTGTGTGCAATGTGTCGCAGTTGTGTTTCAATATTATTTTACATTCCAAAGTTAGGGTTTCGTTTTAGGAACTGGTTCGATTCGTATATACCAGATGCGTTCTTTCGTTTCAACCTTTCTGTTCGGTGAATTTTCTGAGCTTAAGGGTTCGCGTACCAAATCTTTTTTGTTTGATTGACCTACTTAAACTCGCCTTCTAAAAACGCATACTACCTTAAAGCCTAACCTTGACTTATAAAATCATAACTCTCAAACTAGGCACTTGCTTCTTATTTTCCGAAGAAACAAAGCAGACAAACCAAAAACTTTCTTCTTGAGAATTGGTGTATATAACTGAAACTATTTTTCAGGGGTTACATTCTTTTCATTTCTTCTGTTAATGCCTTGAGTTAACTATGCCAATCGGATAACTGCCGAAAATGTGCGATTCCGTATATACGCGCGAAGGGCGAAAAATGAATGAAAATGGTGAGGTCTTGTGCTCACATCTGACAAACCACACAGCAGAAAATTCCTCGTGCTACACAGTATGAGATGGCAACAGCAGTGGGTCATTTTCGTGAAAATGATAAATGATACTATAATAAATAGTAAATAAAAGTGAATATAATTTCCTGTATTTTTGGTATGAGTCTATTTCAGACATTGTTCCTCAATATAATGCTACAGCTCTATAAATTACAGTACAGTATTGTCCACTGTAATCCAGCAGCTGCATGCAGATGTATATATGTTCGCCCTATGCACAGTATTTGTTGAAAAATAAGATGGAAAAAAACGTTGTTTTCTTCCTATAATTATGGACTTCCGTTGAAAACTCTTCATGCTGATGGCTTATTAGCGACACCTGTATGATATTTATTAACGTTATACGACGAGGATGTGCTGGCATCTGCTGGTCGCGGTGCATGGCTATGCTCGGGAGAGGAAAAACTTTGTAACACTTGAATGACAAAAAAGTGCACTCCTGTATACTTTGAAGAAGTTGTCCTGTGACACCCTTTATTCCAGTGAGAACATCCTTACTAGACCTGGTATCACTATAGTCCTGTGACATCGCCCAGCGCACTGTAAACTCGAATCCTCAAGTCTGTCACTAGTGTGTGTAAAGAAGAGAGTGACGAGAAGAGGGAGTGAGGGTATAGGGGGTGCAGTGGCCTAGAGTTTCGCTGACCAAGAGTTCTGCTCCGGCGAGAAACTACACCACCTCGGGAGAGGGAGTCAGAGGAGAAATATGGCCGCCCCCCGTGGGCGGCGCCAGGCTAATTACACTCCGCGATTCGGCATAGACCCCCACGTTTATCTCGGTATGCTTTAGAAAGGTACCGTTTTTTTTATAGACTATACTTCCCACCCATAAGTTTGTTTTAAGAGGATTTGGGCAAAATTAATTAATTTCGTTCGCGCGTAATAAATAACGCGGGTTGCACGGTAAATATTATTTTCGAAGCAGAGAAATATGTCCCTGAATGAGGATTAAAGATTCGTTAGTGTAATCTGTGCATCTCCAAACTTGCGAAAGCGTTATTCGGAATAGCGTTCACACGTTGCGTTTGATTCATGTTATGACTTCGTTTCGCGATTTAATTTTTCAACCGTAATAATTTATTATTTGGAGCATCGTTGTTTATAGCGACACCTGTAGGACAAGTTTTGAAGTGCGCCGAGGATTGTGCAGGCATCTACCGTGCCTGGCCGTGCGCTGCGCGGCAGAGCTGGGGGACAGAATTGAAGTGCGCCCTTTTAATAAACCAGATGGCTTGTAATGCAGCCGCAGCGGCCATCATGGTGACGTGCAATGGTCGGTCGGTGCGTTGGATAGTGAAAGCCACCAGTAATGGAATTGTGGACTCCGAAAGAAAGCGGATGTCGTGAAAGATTTTCTGTGATATTAATACCGGCTGAAGTGTTTTGAATCTAACGTGAGTGTTCTGATGTTACAGTGTGGAAGTGATGATTCCGCGACTGTCGGAAGCATCCTCGATGCTATTTGTGTTGTCCACATCTTCAAGCGTTGAAAATTGGTATCACTCATGGAAATGCTTTATGGTGTTGTTTGAATGACTTGCAGGTTAAGGCTACGAAATTCTTCGTTTTCCTCTTTCTGCTAGTAGTCATGCGTTCGCCTCATATGAGGCTTTTTCAGATTTTTTGCTGGTGCGTAGTACACTTGTTGATATGCCTGTTGTTATTTTACAGACACGGTGATGATTGGTGTGAGTTGCCAGCAGGTATCCGAGAGTTGCGTTTTATCCATCATTTGTCTGTGATTTCCCCGAATTTTCTTGGTACATTGGTTCGCCATTTATCAGTCGGCGTTTTTGGAAATCGAAGACCATGGAGTCTGCAAAGAAATCGCAAGAATCCAGAATGGCGGCCGGAGATTCCTCCTCTATCAATGCGTTTGCTCAAAGTGTGGAGGGACTGTCAATAGACCCTCATAAAGTTAATCCAGCTGGTGGCACCTTGTCCTATGCCGCTGTAGCAGGGTCCAAGAATGCTGATGAATCTACCGCAGATGGTCTCAGGAAGTCTAACCTTTCAGCAGAAGCTGCGGAATTTGTGCCTCGGTGGCTGACAGGAGAAGAGAAACGCGGAAATGCCTCAGGCCCGGACTTTGGAAAACTAGACCCAGCAGCTGCCGCAGATTTCAGATCTTTCGCGGAACGCATGGTGAAGTCCCCGAATCAAGCAGATGATGTTCTTCCTCTTCTGCTGGACCGGTTGAGAGAAGAAAACTCGGTAGAAATTCGCGAAGATGTGCTAAACGGGCTTTGTGGTATTATTATAGAAAAGGCCGTGACAGATTACAGCGCTCGTCATGCAATGGGACGCATGATCAACGTTTTGTTACAATCATTCGACTCTCCGAAGAATGGCTCCATGGGAGCGGAGTTCTGGTCAGCCCTGAATGCTCGATTTACGCGTGAACACGAGAAGTCTGCGGAAACTCTGGGGAAGAATCCCGCTAGGTACAAGACTTTTGCCTTCTTTCTCGCGGAGGTGCTGGGCACAAGTTCCCGTATGTTTGGACACCAGAAAGCCAACGAGCTTTCAGACCTTCTTTTGGAAGTTTTGGAAGACTTTTTCCGGACTGAAGACGGGGAGCAATGGAAAATTGCGGGACAAGTTCTCAAGCAAGTCGGGGGTTATCTTGAAGACAATTTCGCCGGTCGTAAGGACCTGACCAGTGTGTCAGACATGGACCGCTTCATGAACGGAGTCGACAATCGCGGACACTCCGGTCGGGAGGACATTCCTTTCTACATCCGATCTATGCTCATCAACATAATGGAACTCCGAGCGTATAACTGGGGTAGAAGTACAACGCCGAGTGGATCACATTCTGTCCCCGTCCATGCTCCAGCCAACTCGTATCATGAAGCACCATATGTGGCGAACAACGTTGTTTGCCACGACGGATCCGGAATGGCGCTGAATTCGGAAGAGAGGCAATTCTTGGAATCCGAGGGGTGTTTCGATGAGTGCAACGAGGAAGGAGACAACGGAATGGATGAGGAGATGGAAAAGGATTATGAATTGTTCTTGCAGATGAATTCTAATGGGCAGTGAGTCTAGAAAAAAAATGAAGGCGCGAATGAACTTCGGATATTTTTCGCGGTAACGTCTTCTGGTTCCACATAGATCCATTCTAAACTTCGCTTCGGGCAGCCTTTGTAAAAAGAATTAAAGTACATTTTCATGTTTGATAGTGTTTGCGGTGCCGATTTGGGATTGCGCACATGATATAATTCTGAGGGTTGTTTTGTTTGCCTACGTTGGGAGATTGGAATTGGTATTGTCAAACGGCTTTCGCTTTTTTTTTCGGATTAAAAATACACTGACGTTAATGTTACTTTTTAATTGTGATTTTCTGGTTATGAAATTAGTCGTAAAGACTCGGGAAATTAGCTGAAGGCTTTGAAGTTGAATTGCTAAATCGGAAAAGCGGTTGTTGATTCGGGGCCGCGAATATTTTTGCTAGTAAAGCCGATGAACTTCCTTTCTAAACGGTATCGTCAGCTTGTGAAAATGTTGTTTGTGTGACCTCTCTGAAGCCCACCCATGTGTGATAGTTGTAAATTTTTAGAAGGCAAATATTCTAAGTATGAAGGTCTTTTTCGATGAGCGAATGTATCCGTGGCTTTTACCCGGGTGTTCATATGTTGTTACGGTTTGCTCTCTGAAAATAATGTTAGTTGCATAGTTTTGGAAGTCAGTGATGGAGACGCAATTTTCTTTTTCTTTCGGCTTTTGTTTTTCCTGGAAAGATGCGAGTTTTGTGATCTTCAGAGGTCGAGGAGTCAGCGTTGATTTTTCAACAGGTTTTTGTGTTCCTCTGAGTTTGGTATTTCGCTTTTTTTTTTTTCGAGAAACCTTTGTTTCGCGGATGTTTGTTGAATGTTGAGTGTTGTCTTCAAGCCGACGACTGTTTCCGATCATCCTTCAGCAGCAAGACCTTGGTTGAAAATCCCGACTTCATTTGCATCCTGAAAGACTTGTGTCGCGCTGATGAAAGTACGAGAAGAAATGGTACGATGTTTCCCCAAAAATACGACAGGGTTTATATTATTTTCATTCGCCGGAAAGGGTTTGGGACTTCTCAGCGTAGATGATGATTTTGTATATTCGATTTTTCAAATTTAGGATGAACATAGAAATAATCGTCCAAATTTCAAGCTGAAAAAATTAATGTCGAGAAGCTGCATTATAAATGTCCCTTGAGACCAGAAGTTTGATCGAATTATTTCTGTCGAAACTGCGTGCAGTATTCGAAACACGAGGGAATGATTTTTACTTCAAAAACTTGCCTTCATGAGCATTAACATTTTTTTTTTTTTTTTCGCCGATTTTCTGACTATCTCAGCTTTTTTCTGCGAGTCATTCCCAGGATCAGTTCGTATAGTTTTACGCCTACTTAGTGTCTTTCTCACAGATTATTAACACGGGGTACAAACAATTGAAACGACTTTTTAGTTCGACATATTGCTTGAATACTTGATTATCTTTGGATCTTCTTGGTACTCGATTCGATTTCAGCTGTTGAGCGCAGTTCGAAAGCAAACGATTCAGCCGTGATTTATCATAAAGGATCGTTTTATTTCAAGTCAATTGTTCTCATGTTACGGGCTTACACGATGGATATGAAATTGCCGTTGCGTGTTCCCAACAACCAGAATGAAATTAAAACTGATTATTTTTTTTATGCCCATTGACAATTCAAGGAAACCAAGCTAAGGCAATTTTTCCCACGTGACTTTCTTCTAGAGTACAGTAGTCGTAAGATTTGGTCAAATCCCTTTCGCCGTGTGTTCAGTGATGTCTTGGAACTGAGTAGGGCTTCTCTTTTGAGTAAGTCATATTTTTGGGGAAACTCGGTATAGCTTTTTTGTTCGCCAACTTACTGTACTCCCTCGTAGCCGTGTCTCACGAACTGTGAAACAAATTTTGGTTTTGTCCTGGACTCCTTGAAGATCCTCATGAGATTAAACTCACTCGCCGGTTTTGTATGATGTCTAGTTTTCAAGCTGGGGGCAGTCCGTTGATGGTTTTAGGGAAATGCAGTAGTAACTTCCTCGCAACACAATTCGATCGCTTGTGATGATGGAATCAGGGTTTTTCCGATTTACATGGCAAAAATTCAATGTCCACTCTCGTCTAATCGTTCAGCAAGGAAGGTTGGGAGGAAGAAGCGAGTTGCTCGTCCGGTTTGTCTGACGAGAGCCCAAAGTGCCTCTGATTTGTTGAGGCTCCGACAGGTTACTGATTCCGATATGATTCAAGACATGCCTTATCTTGCTGCCAAGTTTTTCGGGACATTCGTGGACAGTGCTGGATCCTTCAAGATGCTTTGCCTTTCTTGGTTGAATGCAAGCAGCCGTGTGTACGTCATTTTCGAATGAGGGCCCGAGCTGCGGAGTTGATTGCGATGATGTACGAAGTCCTGTACTGTGACGCATCTGGATGAAAAAAATCAAGATGTTCAGAGAAAACGTGGAAAATGTTTTGTCAGTCAGTCAAGTGGGGGAACAGGAAATACGTTTCAGTGGCGTCGCGTAAATGCTGTGAAGACCTATTTCCTACAGGTGAGTTAACCTTTGCATGAGGTTGATTTCGGTAATTTATCATAATTTCGAATATCGGGGAACAACGAACGACGCGCTCCACGACATTTTGCGAGAGAAAATCAATTTTCCTCACGTAAATTACTGTGTTCGGGACGTGAGATGAATTTTTAAAAGTGAATTTGCGGTACCTTTCTTTGCAAGGACGCGCGATCAGACCAAGATTTTCGAGCGTCGTAATTTTCGGAACCCTTCAGATTTTTATGCTCGTCTCTGCTTGCACTTGCCGAGCTAAGCTGTTACGAAGAAATTGAAACATTTTTGGTATTCAAATGAAGTTGCGCTTGGAGCATCTCAGAAGCCCCCGGAAAGCAGGTGTAGAACCATCGGTCCTCCTGGAACATTCGTTTCGGATTACAGATGTCATATTTGTTAACGGATTTCAGTCGCCTTGAAAATTCCTTAACTAGGAGACTCGAATTTTTCTGCGGATCCTTCAAGTTCAATCTATAACCTTATAATATTCATTCAACTGAGAAACAAAAACTGTTGCATTTTTCCTTCGAAAATGGCGATTCACGTTTAAGAAAATAAATTGCTGGCATTGAGCGGCACAAAAGATTCCTTTAGCTTGAAAGGAATGCACGCATTATTTGAGCCTCAATAACTCGAACCTCCCTATTTTGAATTTCATTTAAATCTCTTGTCTGAATTCCTGTAGAAACAATGCGTTGAAAGCCCCTCTAACTTAAAGGCTTTTCCCCTTAATCCTACATGAATACAATTTTCTGAAGGTATTCAGGTTATTATTTCAATGCAGGAAACAGAAAATTATTAAAAGAGGATTTGATGTGCCTTGAAAGGAAGAGAAAGGCTTATGGGGTAAAGAAAACCTTTTCTCCTAGTTCAGCATCATGTCAACTTATTTAAGGCCCAGAACATTCTCAATTATAAATTTTCTGTTAATTACTTTTTTCCCCTAACAAATTTTTTTTTTTTTTAGACTCGAATTTTTCTGCTGGTTCTTTTAAGTTCAGTCTAAAACCTTAAGATATTCATTCAACCAAGAAACAAGAAAGTCGCATTTTTCTCATAAAAATTGGCGATTCAGTCAAAAAGGTGTATTATTTGTTGAAAACTATGTGGAACTCATATTTCGTAAGTGAGTGACGACATATAAATGCATGAATCTAATATATTATAATCCAGAAATTGTATTTACGTAGTCGCTTTTCTTCGCAGTACTTGTATATGTACAATTTTATAATCCTCTTTGACACGCAGGAAAGGATCTGCGCCACGCAAAAAAAAGGCTCGTGCACAATGAGTCTCGTCCGAAGAGATTTTTGACGAAAAAGTTCGCTGAAACGGCTCAATCAAACCCTGCAACTGTGGACGATTCAGTCTTCTAACGGGGTCCTGCATTTGTCTCACGATCGATGTGTCACTGACGAAATGGAATCTGAATGAGAAGAATGTCGGGTGCGGAAGGGATGCCGAAAAAAAGGAGGGTTTTGGGCGAAACAAACAAGTTTCAAAGAAGGATCTGCCATCAGTGAACTGCATCACGTGTGTACCAGGCGTTTCCTGTAGGCAGTACCACTTTTCCCGAAAAATATAAGACATGACAAAAAACTAGCCCTTAATGGAATTTCCAGGCCTTGTTCTTAAATTTGAGCAATTCGCGCTGTATTGACCCATATAAAAATAGATACCGTTTTTCAGAGGGTTGTTCAGTTAAAATTATGAAATTCATGTTGGCGGCAGATCAGGTGAAAGTAGAAAAGGAAAATTGTAGCATAATCGTGCCATGAGCGTTTTTGGCACCTGATCAATTTAAATACGAATTCGGCGCTTTCACTACTGTACTAATGTAACTAGTGAATTCCCACAAGATTATTTCCGTGTTTTATCTCTCAATCTTACTGACTTAATGATCGTTGTCCGGAGAATGCCACTTATATTCTCCCATACTCCAGGCATCTTACTCCTAATCGTATACGACATTTTGACTTTCTTACACATTGTTCTATTTTCCTTCGAAAGAAATTTTATGATCTTCTTCGGATGGCTCTCAAATTCATGGGTTTATTATCCTTCGGAGTTTATATCACTTGAATTATTTGCGAATGTAGGGTAACTTTGAGTTCAAACAACTGCAGTACTGAATTCAATCCGTTCATTGGGACTTGAATGACAAAAAAAAATCCCTAGAAATTACATTGCGGTGTGTTGAATTTACATCAATTCCGTATTTTCCAGGAAAATTTTAATATTGAACAAATAAGAGCTGGCAGATGAATTCAGGAAGGGGAAAGAGTGAAAAGCTCAATTTGACCTCGAAGGAAACTTCGACTTCGGGTGCTCAGCGTTTACAGTGCTTATAATTTTTACAATTTCTCCCCATCGTGTTATGTAGTTTACTGATCAAATTTTGAAAATACGGTACCATTATAAAGACTTTGCGTCGTAAAGCCCAATGATGTCCATTGTCCTTATTTTCGGGAGAAGATGGCATTGTTCTGAAATTCTAGTGATTTATTGTGCACAGGTTCCATCTACAGGTTACGCCTTCAATGAGTGCAATCCATCACAGTGTTGGAAGAAGAGAATACCTCGGGGAAGAAAGTTGTCACATTCCCGGGGAAGAGGCAACCCGTCCGCTGTGGATGTCGTTCAGAAAAAGAGCACATGGGCCTTCGAAAAAGAAATCCTCGTTGTTGTATCAACGTTACCATTTTCTTTCGTTTTGTTGGGCGAGTTCGAGGGAGAGAGAGATCATAAAAGACGGGTCGTTTGAGGTTGTTCTCGCGTTTGCTTGGAAGCGATGCAGCTGAATAGGGAGTATCGTTTGCTTGAGTTGGTTATCTGACACGTTTGTGTAAGAGTCTGATCTGATTCCTCCCGTGCAGATTTTTTTTTTTGGTAAGAGAGAGGTGGGCATGTGTGATCTTTTTGGCACTGGAAAATCGCCAGTTGTACTACGCGTAATGAGTTGAATGGATGCCGTCGTTGCATTTGTTTCTTTTGTAAATGGACTCTGTTTTGTACGCGATGTCCAATCCTCGTTTCTCGCTGGTTTGAATGGCTGAATGAACTTCGTGACGATACTGCTTCACACTTCTTTCCTGATCAGGTTGGCTTTGATCTTCGGCCTAAATTGCATGGGAATTTTTGATCTTGCTCAGCAAGTTTATCCTACAGTTCTCCATTTGCATAATTATGTAAGCGGAGAACTACAAATTATCCAGGCATCAATTAACTGTTGGAACGAAATTTCTAGTTATCTACTGCAGGTTGCCATGCAAAAGTTTTTACATAATCCGCAGCTGCCTTATTTATACCGCTAAAGGGCAAATCAACAAGGCGGATATGCTGGTAATTCATTGAACTTCATCCACGGTTGTTCACTCCTTTCTAAAAAATTTCTCCACCTTTTGAATCCATTGTAAGCCTTGTATTATCGGTCCCTCTGAGGCATTCGGTTACTTTTGCTAATTCACCTGCATTGCCATTATTATACCCACATCCATGTACTTTTTTGGTATAGATTAGAGTGAATTAACAGAGCGCATGATAAACTTATGACAATGATTGAATTATTTACAGTGCCTATTCCTGGTCATGATATATGCCTTGTAGACTGACAGCTGAATTTCTATTGCATCAATCATGCAGATAAAGTACATATCCTGCTGTGTATGATATAGGTACAGTTCATATTCTATATATGAACTGCTGTTAATCTATGTGAAACGGAAGTTAAGAATGTATCTGTCCCATGATGTTTTAGTGAATCCCTTTTTTTGTGAAACAACTTAGGGATGCACTGTAATTCTGATCAATAGGTTACGTACAGATTCCAATTTATGTTACATCCATTAATCTTCCTGATGGATCACTGACTATTTCTCTTCTACATAAAACTGTATAACCAATGCCAAGCACATCAATAATCTATTTCATGAGTCTACACAAGCTCATAGTACAACTTGAGCATTATACTGGGAACAGTTCAGTCAAATGATATGCGGGATTCAAATGTTTCTGGAGCGAAGCTGAAGAAGTTTAAATTTCAGACGAACTTCTATTACCATGAATGATGGGAAAGATTCAGCCTTTCAAATTGTTATTAGATCTTCAATAAGTAAACTTATTTAGAATCTTTTCCCATGTAACATCCCTTTGTTGGATTGAGTACAGTACATAGTGTACTAATGCGTGAAACGAACATCTTCAAAAATGATCGAAGAATATATGGTTTTAATATGGCGCCTTCCTATTATCACCGGTCACATACTTGCCAAAGGGCGAAAAATGTGGCTACATCTATGCTTGCTTTCGTACTCCGTCGACATATTGGCAATGCTGCACCGTGAACTGAGGAATCGTGATAAATTCGATGAGCCACGCACTACAGGAATTTAGTTGTGGTGAAGATGTTGGCGTGATTACATGTAGTGTCGGTTGAACATTCTTGAGACTCATGTGTTGTATTGAATTCGTTTCATTTCTAGGTCATCGTTTATCGGTGAAGTTCTTGAAGTCTCCATAGCTTCCGACACTCGGCTCAATTGAACGGTATGTTAACAGTGAACTCCGCGTATTGGGACAGTTCTCATTTTGACGTTTACTACAGGCACCATGGGAAAGGAGAAGATTCACGTGAACATTGTCGTCATTGGACATGTCGACTCCGGCAAGTCCACGACTACCGGCCACTTGATCTACAAGTGCGGTGGAATTGACAAGAGAACAATTGAGAAATTCGAGAAGGAAGCTCAGGAGGTATGAGAATGATGTGATGTTTACTGGGATTGGAGTAAGATGCGAGGTGTGTTATAGATGGGCAAAGGCTCCTTCAAGTATGCGTGGGTCCTCGACAAACTGAAGGCAGAGCGCGAACGTGGTATCACGATCGACATTGCCTTGTGGAAATTTGAAACCGCCAAGTTTTACGTTACCATCATTGACGCACCTGGCCATCGTGATTTCATCAAGAACATGATCACCGGAACATCACAAGCTGATTGCGCAGTTTTGATTGTCGCCGCTGGTACCGGAGAATTCGAAGCCGGTATTTC